TTTTTGAATAGGCGCGCAATATCTTTTTTTGCAGGTTTTTATATCTATATTGAAGCTTCTCGAAGAAACTTTGGAGACGAGGCGAGATTGCTTAGCGACTGGATGAAACCTAATGAGACAGTCTGCGTTAAGTTCTGGTATCACATGCATGGGTCGGACATTGGTAATCTGAGTATTTACCTCAAAACTAACCAATCAGAAACCCTTGTTTGGATGGTTTCGGGAGATCAAGGAAACCGTTGGCGATATGGTCAGACGGCTTTGAATAGCACCCTTTGGTTTAAAGTAAGTATTCAATTTTCCGATAATTATGCAGCGAAGAGGCTTGAAACTATATAATATATTAACACGATTCAGTCATATAAGAGGACGTTAAAATCATCTAAAAATGCGTAATCCACAGTGCATTCTCCCGCAGGAGCTGCTGGCCGGACGAAAGTCTCGCTCTTTCATTGTAGATTTTTTCAATTTCAGCTCCTTTTTAAAATATTTTGTTTTATAAGGGCGTTTAAAAGAGTGCATTGCATTTTCATTTACTTAATCGCATATTTTCCAAAAGTACAAGGTTAAAATCTGAAGTATTTCGCAAAGTAATGAAAAATACGCATTTAAGCTTTGTAAAGGTCAATTTTTGTTGATATCAGGATTGCTATTTTCAGTTTGTACTGGAAGGAGCAGTTGGTACTGGAAGTAAAGGGGATATTGCAGTGGATGATTTTACGGTGGTGGACGGAGCATGTGAAAAAATCTTCAAACAAAGTAGGTATATTTAATTTTAAGGTGATTGAAAGCGATCTAAACAGAAATAAAGTCTTCAAGACAAGTTAACACGAATTACCACGATTTCTCGCTATTTTCCCGTCCGGCATCGTCAGTAATAGGAATATTAAGAAGCACAAATTGCATCTATAACCTATTGCTTTTTATGCTTCGTCTCCAGCGAGTCCAGACTGCTATTTTGAAGAGAGTGGGTGCGATTGGTACGTTCATGATGGAGGGGTTCTGAATACTCATTTGGCGGGAATGGGAAAGCGAGGTAAGCTGTTTGATCGTCAGTTGACAGTAACATAGTGATGCTTTATCACCGATAACGGTAGTTTGTTTTCCCTTTCCCCATAATTGCAAGAGAAAATACAGCATTTTAAAAAGAAGCCTTAAAAGTGATGCAATAACCTTCAGCAGTTTTCAATATGGTGCCGTCCATAAACGTACTTTTTCGCAAATTTGAAAACGATTTTTTCTTTAGGAGGTTAGGATATTCTTTGGAATCTTAAAATGTAGTCCCCACTATAATTTCGCGTATACTTTTTAATGTCGGCGACAAAATCAATTGGTATCCAGAGCAGATCACCCCTTAACACGTCGCCGTATTTTGTTGTCGGTAGGATACGCCTCTTTACCGGTTGGAGCATCAGAACCGCCATGTTTTCTCTCGTCTTCCATCATCAACAGCATTGCTTATGAATGGAACTGCCTTCGTTTCTGGCGCAAGGCTTCGTTAACTGTGTTATTAAACAACACAAAGATGAACAAAACTCAACTTCTTTTTCATGCAGAAGAGGCGACCAATATGTGGCGTTACGTACAGCTTCCAATACCAATCAATTCAACTCAAATTCAGGTAGTTAATACTCTCCTTCGCAGCGTTTTGTTAAGTCTCGCCACGCAACGTCAAGCTCGTGACAACAGGTGTATCGTGAGAGAGCGTGAGACCACACAAAGGCTGCGAAGGAGAAAAACTTTTAACGTGGTTAAGATTTAACGATGTCGTGGTGTCTTCTATGACGGTGTTCTTAAACAGTTTTCCTAGAACTGGAGTGGGTTAAACTCAAAGATTCCTTTTTCTCATGAAACCTTTCTTCTCGCGGTTGTACATGTCTGAGCTTATCATAATTGCCTTTTTATAACCTACCATAGATTCATTTTGTTGGTGTCTGCAAATTCACTCATGGACCATTTGTGGACATCGCAAATGTTTCTTTCACCAAAGAACCCTGCAAACTGATTCCTTGGAGCGCTGGTAAAGGTAAGGGTTACTTTAGAGGTTACGTAGTCATAGTAAACCGAACTTCGTGTCACGTTCTTTTTTTACGTGGCAGGCACTTGCTGTGCCCATTAACCTCTCACTCCTACGACTAACTAATCAAAGTGACGGTATGGTGAACTCGTGGATATGCTGTGCAAAATATGAATAAAATGAATGTAATTGTACTAAAAGCCAATGATCCTATAGTTCCAATTGAAGAAACATATTAAAGCCGTCAATCCCCACATAAGAGTTAAATTTTCAAGAAATGTGCGTCATTCATTAAGGGGAAGGAATATTTAGATTTTAGGGTTAGATGGCGAAAGGAGGAAGAGCATAACCTTTTAGGGACATTTGTCAGACCCAAAGCTACATTAGAATAGAGAAACTGAAAGAGTTTTCTTCTTTTCACCTCCATACTCGCCTCTAACCGTAGGTAAAACAGCTAAGGACGCGGAAAGTATAGAGTACGGTTTATTCTATCCTGTTCTAACTATTTTACCGATAGCTACATTACTTTTTGATCCCTAACAACCATTAGATTGTCAAAAGCCTCTTGGCATGGAGAATGGAGCTATCTCCAATGAACAAATCACTGCTTCATCGCAATGGAATGCCTACTATGCCCCTTCCCAGGGCAGGTTACATTCTAAACAATCAGGCGTTAAATGGAGATCTTGGTCAGCCAGCGTAAACGACAATAACCAATGGCTTCAAGTGGCTCTGGAAATTCAGTACATGAAGATCACAGCTGTAGCAACACAAGGACTGAGTGAATATTCTGAGTGGGTAACGAAGTACAAGCTGCAGTATAGCGGGGATGGAATAAGCTTCCAGTATTACAAGGAGCCAGAAGATATTGAAGAGAAGGTGAGTTGGACGTCACACATCAAAGTCATATTACTCTTGTCTTTCTCATCCAAAATTAAAAAGAAAATAAGCATTTGGCTGAGATTAGTATCCTTTGGTTTGACTATGTTTGGTTGGGGTCGGCTCAGCTCAGATCGAGTCGATTGGAGTCGCATCGTATCGGGTCAGGCCGCGTCGCATCGAATCGAGTCGGGACAGTGCGAGATTGGGAGGGAAAAGGTAGAGCAGGTCGATTCGGTTCAGCCTACCTTTTTTGGCCGAGTTTGGTTTTATTAAGTTCGGTCCGGAACAGTCCAGGTCGGTCCAGGGCGAGGCGGGGCGAGGCTGGTC